CATAATTAAGAGCATATATACAAATCCAACAGCCAACATCACTCTCAATGGAGAGAAACTAAAAGCATTCCATTTGGGAACAGATAGCAGATAACTGTGCCTTTATTATCACTCCTATTCAATATTGTGCCGGAAGCCTTAGCAAGAGTGATGAGGCAAAAAAATGGAAGTTAACAGCATCCAAATTGGCAAAGAAGAAATAAAATTCACTGCCAAGCCAAGATGATACATGACTCCAACCATCACATACATGTTCCATACACTTTATTTGCATGGTGTTAGGGTTCAGCCCCGAGGAGAAAAGTCTGTGTCTTTGTAGCTGCCAAAAGACCAAAAAATATATATATATATATATCCAAGACTAAATTCAAGAGATATTACTTTATTATAGAGAAAATACAAGATGTTTTACTAATAAGGAAAGTTATTCACAAAGGACAAAAAAGAAATCAGCTGTCCCCAGTGGCGGCGGGCTGATCAGTGAAGTTTTTCCACATGGAGACTAGGGTCTTTTTGTATCATGGAGTCTACAAGCTTCACAAATATAAGGGCAGTTAAGGGTGATATGGGGAAACCAGGAAGAAGTAGGAAAAGCCAAAGTGCTCATCAAGGGAAAAGAGCAAAGAGCCGGAGTGGAGTGTGGGACCCTACTCAGAGAAGCAGAAACCCCAGACATAGAGGCAGAGATGATGACGTGAAGAAATGGAGCAGCGGGGGCTGTGTGCTGGCAACTGGGGTCGGCTCACAGGGTGTGCCCTTTGGTTGTTTGCGTGATTATATATTCCTGAGTGTTTTGGTGTACATTCAAAAAAAAAAACCCCAAACAGAGGGAATAGAAACAAATACTGTTGAATGATGATGCATGGAGGGGATTGGAATCATTGCAATGAAATGAAATACGACAGGAGAGTGTAAAGCTGATGTTCTCCCATGTAAACAAACTATCACTCAATTCACAATAAAAACTTTAAAAAAAAAAGCCAAAATACTGGGCTTTCTGTCTCCTCTTAGAAAACAAAGAGTTTCAGAGTGGGAGGCAGAGGCTGCCACCTCCCTCCTAATGCGTTGTTGCTGTTAAGTGCCGTCTAGTTGGTTCCAAATTATAGTGACCCTGTATAGGGTTTCCAAGGAGCAGTTGGTGGGTTTGAACCACTAACCTTGCGGCTCAAACTGCCCCTGTGCTCCAGTGTTTATTGTTGCTTAGAGTATGCATACCTAAGACAGGATAACAGGGTTTTAGTATATATAGCTAGAGAGAAGGGGCTGTCTGCTCCTTCCTAGATAGGGGTAAGGGATAAGAGATATGGTTTTGAGGGGCCCTTGGCTTGGTCATTTTGGAGCATTTAGTTTGTGTCCCTACTCATAGTTCCACCCAATCACAAAGACTATAGCCAGAAAAGCCCTATGAAGTAATGGTGCAGAGTGTCTGAATGGTGCAAACAATCAATGCTCCTAACTGCAAACCATAGCATAGTGGTTACAAATCAGACTGCTAATCTCACAGTCAGAAGTTCGAAACTACCAACTGTTTCGCAGGAGAAAGAGAAGGCTTTCTGCTCCCGTAAAGATTTACAGCCTCGGAAACTCTGTACAGGGTCGCTATGAGTCAGAACCAACTCCATGGCACATAACCACCACCAACTGCAAACCAAAAGATTGGAGGTTCAAATCTACTGAGAGGCACCACAGAAGAGTGCCCTTGCAATCATCTTCCCAAAACTCAGTCATTGAAAACCCTATGAACTACAGTTCTGCTCTGATGCATATGGGGTCACTGTAAGTCTGAATCAGCTCAATGTCAACTGGCTAGCGATGTTTCTGGTATTATTTTTAAGTTCCAGGGATGAGCTATGAGCAAAGCCCTCATGGAATTTATTGTCTAGTGGATAGAACAGATGATAAATAAATAGATATACTATACTTAAACATGTGTTGTTGGTAAGTGCTTTCCAGTTGGTTCAGACTCATAGTGACCCTGCATAAGGTTTCCGAGGCTTAAAATCTTTGCAGGAACAGAAATCCTCATCTAATGTGGAGTGACTGACAGACTCGAACCATGGACCTTGTGGTTTGCAGTCCAGTGCTTACCGTATGGAGCCACCATGCTCCCTATTATATATATACAATTACACACACACACACACACTTATATATATACACACACACATTGATTTTTGGAGCTGTATAGTCAGTAATTAAATTCTGGATTTGGGATGTCAAGAAAAATGTGAGTTGCACATACAGAATTTGAGAGTTACAAGCATCCAGATGATGCTTGTAACTGATTGTTGAAACTGATTTAGGATTGCCAAGGATAATATTAATTACCTTATACAGAATCATTTCTATTGCTATGATTTTCGCCATTTTATAGAATTTGTGCAAACTGTGTTTTAGGTGATGAATCTATTGGTGATGGTGGTTATGTGCCATGGAGTCGGTTCTGACTCATAGCAAACCTGTACAGGGTTTCCTAGGCTGTAAATCTTTACGGAAGCAGATAGCCTCTTCTTTCTACTGCGGAACAGCTGGTAGTTTCGAACTGCTGACCTTGAGGCTCACACTCCGATGCATAACCACTACACTACCAGAACTCCTTCAGGTATCTATTACTAATTGCTAAACGTTGTCAAGTTGGTTCCAACTCATAACGACCCTGTACAGGGTTTTCGAGGAGTGACTCGTGGGTTTGAACCACCAACCTTGCAGTTCAAACCGACATTGAGAGCCAGTGCAATATCCTGAAGTATCATACAATGCAGTGTAATATACAACATGGAAACCTATTAAGCTGCTAAAGGAAAAAACAAGAGACATATATTATGAAAGAGCAAAAGTAGCAATATAAATGTCTGATAAAATAGACTTTAAGGCAAAATCCAGGGTAAGAGACAAAGAAGGATTATCTCATGATTAAAGGGTCAGTTAAACAAGAGAACATACCTATAATAAATATCTATGTTCTCAATGAAAGCATATCAAAATACATAAATCAAAATTCAAATAAAATTAAAGAAATAGGTAACTGTACAATCTCCTACAATAATAATTGTTGTTATGTGCCTCGAGTCAGTTCTTACTCACAGCAACCCTGTATGAGGTTTCTGAGGAGTGGCTGGTAGGTTTGAATTGCCAAGCTTGCAGTTAGTAGTCCAGTGCTTATTCTAGAGTGCCACACCAAAACTGAGGAAGGGATAGAGAATTGGAAATGTCCACCTTTGGAAATGCATAGAAGCCCTGGTAATCTTAGTGCCTTATGAGTTGGGCTGGGACAGCAATTCAAATCTACCAGTCACTGAACAGGAAAAAGATGAGGTTCCCTCCTCCCGAAAAGATTTACAACCTTGGAAACCCTATACAAAGTTGTTATGAGTTGATACAGACTTGAGGGCACACATCACTACCACATGGAGGATGGAGTCCTGTTTAGTGCTGTAGGATAAGCACTGGACTGTTAATCACAATGTTGGTGGTTCAAACCCACAAGCTGCTCCTTGGAAACCCTATAGTGGGTCACTATGCATTGGAACAGACTCGATTAACTTAACACACAAGGTGGATATGTCAAGAAATGATAGCATTACATTTTGATCTTTTTGTTTAATTCAGGTGTCTATTACTCATGGAAGCAGCAGTCAAGAAATCAAACAACATAGGACATTAGGCAAATCTGCTGTACAAGACCTTTTTAAAGTGTTAAAGAGCAAAGATGTCAGCTTGAAGACTAAGGTGTGCCTGATTCAAGCCATGGTATTTTCAATAACCTCATAAACATGTGAAACCTGGACAGTGAATAAGGAAGACTAGAAGAATCGATGCATTGAGTTACGGTGTTGGAGAAGAATACTGAACTTGTCATGGGCTGCCAAAAGAACCAACAGATCCGTGTTAGAAGAAGTGCAGCCAGAGTGCTCCTTGGAGGCCAGATGGCCAAACTTTGTCTCTCATACTTCAGACATATTGTTAGGAGGGAACAGTCGCTGGAGAAGGATATCATGTTTGGTAAGGTGGAGGGTCAGAGAAAAAGAGGAAGACCCCAGCGAGATGGATTGGCAAAGTGGCAGCATCGATGGACTCAAGCATGGCAACAGTAGTGAGGTTGGCCCAGGATCGGGCAATGTTTTGTTCTGCTGTGCATAAGGTCACTATGAGTCGGTACTGACTCCATGGCACCTAACAACATTACTTTATAGCAATACTTTTTGACTTGCCACTGTATGGGTGGAACAAGAGACCTGGGTCCAGAAACCTTTTCAGTGGATGGCCACCCTGTTACTTTTCTTCTTTGTTTAGATGTCAGTCTGACCTAGGTCCTCAGATTTTAAGGTCCCATTCTGGAGCAGTGTTCCAAATCCTTTATTTCTGGTCTCTGACAACAGAGCTGTATGTGGGGTGTTTTCCCGGGTCACTGGGAATTGCAGACCGAGTGAACGCTGTTTCTGCCCTCCAAAAACAGTTACTTGCCCATAGACATACAATCTGTTGTTTTAAACAACAAAGTTTTAGGATTTTTTATTTTTTATATACAACAGGAAACAACCAATCACCTGGCTAAGGGACAACTCTCTCTGTGGGCTCAAATCGGCCTTTGTGGAGCTCAGTAATACCCAAAAGACCTCTTATCAAATCAAAGGAAAAACCGATTGCAGTAAAGTCTGCTCCGCCCCCACGTGTCAGAGTATAAGTGTGCTGCATAGTGTTTTCAATGGCTGGTTTTTCCGGAATCAGTCAATAAACCATTTCTTCTAAGGCGACTCTGGGTGAGCTTGACTCTCTCTAACCTTTCTCGCGTACCAACCAGAAGCCCAGCTCGCACATGCGCACGACACCACCTCGCTTTAAGGGAACGCTAACTCTCGCGATATCCATAACCTCACAGAGTGCTAGCCTCGAGACAGCACCAACTATCGCGAGAAGGACTGTAACCTCGCGAAGACCTAGTGAATGAAACAAGACTTAAGACCGCGGGAGTGCGCAGTAACTGACCGAAGGCGTACGGGATGGCGTGTCCGCGGTTGCCGTGGAGCCGGCAGAACAGACAGCAGGAGCTAGACGTACGCCAGCTAGTCCGGCATGTGACAGGCCTGCAGGACGAGGCGGACCCCAACTTCCAGCTCTCTCTGCACTTCGCCTGGTCCAACTTCAGGTGTGGTGCCCGACGATTGGGCCGACCCCCGCTTGGACGATGCCAGGGTCTGTGCTTGGCGGGTCCCTGCCGGGCTGCGGGGTCTTAAGTAGTTGGGGTGGATGTGGAGGACCTCGAGGAAGCTATTGCAGTCTCAGCAACTCTGCGCCCCTTAAACGATGAAATGTTAGTGGTTCGCCCCCGCCTTCCCCTTAGAAGGCGCGCTTTCTAGATTGTAGGTTTGTGTCTCTCTTTTCCCCTGAGGTACCCATTCCACTTAGCACAGTACATGCATATCAAAAATCGTTGTTTGAATGGATGGGTAAGTCAGTTTTTAAAGGAAACTTATGATCACACCCTATTTAGAATCGTATTCTGCACTGACGGGCTCCTCCTGCCACTCCAAATCTCTCAGACTCTGTCCCACCGTTCTCTTCTCCTCCTTCCCCAATGAATAGGTCAGATCATTTGTCTTTTGTTTACTGTTTGTATTCTCCATCTCTTACTCTCGTTGGTACATGCCTCAAATAGGAAATGTGCACTTCCTGCACCCCCACTAAGAGGCTCTGTTTTCCTCATTGCTGTTTCCCAGCACCTAGGACAGTTACTGACAAATAGTACACAGTCACGTAATACAACTTACAATACAGCTGATCTAGTTAACTTTTCATCAAACTAAAGTTTTAGTTTTTTAAGATGTATGCAATTTAGATGTCTCTTACTTTGGGCAAATTGTCAGGAGGGACCAGTCCCTGAAGAAGGTTATCATGTTTGGTAATGAATGAAAAAGAGGACCACCCCCAATGAGAGGAGTTGGCACAATGGCGGGCACTGTTTTGTTCTGTTGTGCATAGTGTCGCTATGAGTCGGAACCGACTTGATGCCACATAAGAACAAGAACTCTTTATGGAAGACAGAAACTAACAGTAATATTTTAATGATCATTATGTGTAATTACTTAAACATGTGTTTTGTTGCTAAATGCCGTCGAGTTGGTTCTGACGTATAGTGACTCATAGGGTTTCTGAGGAGCAGCTGGTGGGATTGAACCACCAACCTTGCTATTAGCAGTCCAGTGCTTATCCTACAGTGTCACACCATTACTCCTAAAGATATGTTAGCAATGTTAATATGCTACTTGCTTAATTTGAGTAAAAATCTTCTTAAATGGTAAGACATGATTTGGCTATTTGTTCAAGAATAATAGAGGACGATCGTATTCTTGAAAGTATGCCTCATTTTTCAAATAGTAAACTAAATTCTTAACTGTAACTAATGAAAATAACAGTGTGAAATACTTAATACAAAACAAGTTACAATTCTCTGTCTCAAATATTT